CTATATTGATTGAAGAATGTTTCCTTGACCAAAAAGCCAATAAGAATCATTTTCCGGAAGGGGATAGAAATTCTGCATATTTTCATGTTTGTATTAAAAATAAGAAAAGGAACAATCATATTAGAATGATTAGTTGCAGTAATAGTGGTATCTTAAAAAAGCAGCAAGATATTTCCAATGATGGCATTGCCTATTTTTCTAACATTTTTACTTCTGATGGAAGTTCTTTAAAAGCTATTAATAATGCTTTGTACAGTCTGGTGTCTGACGTGTTTGGGCAGTCTAACTAGTATTCCCAACATCTTGGAAATTAAGAATACAGTGGAGTCGATGGAGGATGGGAAAGCAGCGGGACCTGATGGGTTTATTGCTGAATTTTACAAGAAAGGATGGGAGATTATTCATCCTGAATTGGTCAATACAATTCAGGAATTTTTTCGTGGGTTGGATTTGCCTCAGTATTTTAAGTCTTCTAATATTGTTCTTATTCCCAAAGATACTGTTGTTTCTTCTTAGGAAAAGTTTAGACCAATCAGTATTAATACTGTAGTGTCTAAGATAATTTCTAAAATTATTGTTAACATATTACATCCTTTCCTTCAAAATATCATTCTAACAATCAATCTGCTTTCGTATAATGTTTTGACTGTACAGGAACTTCTTATGTATTTTGATATGAAGAGTAGAGGGGGCAATGTAATATTCAAGCTTGACATTAAGAAAGTTTTTTATACCATTCAGTGGGGGTTTATTTTGGATGTTCTGAAAGCTATTGGCTTTCCTAATCATTTCTGCAACCTCATTCATAGAATTCTATTCTCTTCTTATTAATGATCAGAAATATGGTTTCTTTAAAGCCTCTAAAGGAATCAAACAAGGAGATCCTCTTTCTCCTTATTTGTTTATTATAGCCTTTGATTATATATACAGGTGTCTTAATCATTGTTATGTTGCATACCCCACTTTTAACTACGTTCACAAGGGAAGAATTAGTATTTCTCATCTTTGCTATGCTGATGACTTAATTGTTTTACCAATGCTCATAAACGTTCTGTCAAAAGAGTATGGAGATTCTTCAGTATTTTCAGGGTGTTTCTGGGCTCAGCTTCAATACTTCTAAATGCTCTTATTATTGTTCTAAAAAGGTTTCTTCTAATATTAAGAATTGGATATCTGATGTTACGAATTGTAAAAAAGCTTCCCTTCCTATAGCTTATTTGGGTTTCGAATTAAATAAGGGGCACAAAAGGATAGCTTCATGTTTGCATATGGTTGATAAAGTTAAGCAGAAATTTTTATCTTAGGAGAATAAATTTCTATCTTATGGAGGTAGAATTATTATTCTTAAGAGTATTTTATGCTCCTTGCCTCTTTATTCTTTACGAGTCATAAATATGCCTAAGGAGGTTATTAAGAAGCTCGAAGTTCTGTTTAATAAATTCCATTGGGATGGTTTGGGTAAGAAGAATATTCATTAGAGGAGTTGGCATAATTTGTGTGATATTCATTCTAAGTTTTATGAGTCTTCAGGACTCTATAAAAATAAATTACATGAAGTTGTGGTATCATTCTCGGTTGAACAACTCCTTATGGGCTTCTTTGATGCATTCTAAGTATTGTGCTGATAAACATCCTTTAACAATTTCCCCCTCGAGAAAATATTCACTCATATGGAAAGAAATGTATAAGGTCTCTAAGCTGACTGAAACTTTCTTTTGTTGGGTTTTGGGTAATGGGCAGTGTTCTTTTTAGTTTGATAATTGGCTGGGCAAGGTGCTCTTGCTGATCATTATGGTGGGCCCTTTGATATTAATATTAATGTCGAACATTTCTGGGTCAATGATAACCGGAGGCTGGAGAAATTTTTGAATTATGTTAATTTCCAGGATGTTACATTCATTGTTTCAATTCCTATAACTAGGAATAGAAAGGATAGTTTGATTGTTAAAAAGAGGGTGGATGATTCTATTTCGAAGTGCTTTGCTCAGTTTATTTCTGTTTCTCAAGGTTTGCAGTTCAAATGGATTTGGAATCCTTGGTTAAAACCATCCATGTCTTTTTTTACATTGTGTGTTTTAAATAATCTGATTCCTTCTAATGATATTCTTAAGATGAAAGGGTTAAGAATTTCATCTCGTTGTATTCTTTGTAAAGATAAAGAGGAGTCTATTATTCATCTTTTTGGTGATTGCAGTTTTATTACTTTAATCTGGGAGTTACTGAGCAAAAAGCTTCTTAATTTTGATATGGATCACACTTTCCACTCTCTTAATGATTTGTTTCATAGATGGAAGCAGTTGGGCAAGGATTTTTTCAGCACTATCCCTTGTGTTGTCATGTGGTTTGTATGGCTTGCAAGAAATAATGTTATTTTTAATGGCGTGACACCTGATGTTTACCATACTATGGGACTCATTTTCTGTTATTTGTGCAAGAGTCTTACTTTTTTAAAATTTAAAGGAATGGGTTGAACTTTGCTTACGGGTAACTTTTAGCAATTGGTATTGCATAATATGGATTTCCGAAATTCTATTAAGACTACTTGGTGTAAATCACATGCTCCTTATTTTAAAATTAATAATGGTTGTTGGAAGCCTAATGCAGCGAGTATGGGAGGGGTTTGTCGTGATTTTGCTGGATCAATAGTTTGTTGGCTCTCTATCTAAATTATCCCTGTTTCTGCATTTACTGCAGAAGCTGATGTGGTGGTTTTTGGCTTAATGGTTGCTAAAAAGTTAGGAATTCATAATCTTATTATGGAAATGGATTCTCTAATCCTTTGGAAGTGTTGCAGGTGGAGTAAAGAGGTGCATTGGAGTATTATGATGCAGATGAAGAGGATTCAAACCTTAACAGAGAATATGAATGTTATTTGGACGCATGTTCGTAGAGAAGGCAATTCGGTGGCTCACTGGGCTGCAAATGTTGGGTATACTCTTTTGAATTCTATAGTTCTTTTTACATTTCCTAATGATTTGTTGGCTTTAGCCATTAAGGACCTTTCTTGATTTGTTTTCTGGGTGTTTTGGGGTGTGGTGAGAGTTGTTTTTTTTGTTTTTTTTTATTTAGGAACCTCTTTCTTTTATCTGAGTAAGTTGTATAGGGCTTAGGTTGGGTTCCTTATCCCTCTTTCTTTATAATGCTTTTCTTGTGGTAATAAATTCTTTCTTTGTAATGTTTTTCTTGTGGTAATAAAATTGCAAGGGGAAGACCCCCACTTTGCTAAAAAAAAATGTGAAACTATTATTTTATAAAATATTTATAATCATAGAGATCCAAGTTTTTATCTCATGTCCTACACAGTTTAAAATGAAGTTTTAGAATAAGAAAAACCATAAGACAATCTAATTAAAATATTTTCATTAATAAGTTATGATGATTAATCCTTCTAATTATTAGAGAAGACATAAGTGTAATGCCAAGATTTATAATGTAAGGGGATATCTCTAGTAGATAAGATTTATTGTCAAAGGTAAGTATTTATAAATAACCAACAACATGCTATAAATGTTGAAAAAAATGACGAAGAAATTTCTGTTAATGAGCAACAACATACATCATACAACATCAATGGTGAAGATAACCATTGCATGATGAGTGATGACAATATATGGTATTCGACAATATATGATATCAAGTGCAGTACAACACTTGGCATAATCCTCATGCCAAGATAAATATCAATGTGATAACTAAAGTAGAGTAGTACAGTTTGATAGAAGACTAGAGACAATCAGGTAGAGATAGCAAAGGGGTTATAAATTGAGGGTTTCTCTCAAATTAAATAAATCTAGAACGAATAAAAATATGACATATTTTTGAAATTTTTAATGGGAAGGCTACATTTTAGAAATTTATATTAATACTTACTAAATCTATTTTAATTGGAAGATCAAAATCATTCCACACATTTTAAAAAGTAATTGAACAACCAATGACATCTCAAATCAGCCGTAGTAAATGACATCTCAAATCAAAGAGCAAAAATTACCTTTTTGAAACTCTCAATATAACACAACAACATTAACAACAACAAACTTTAACCCATTAAGAGGGGTCAACTACATGATTCCTTTTTCTCCTTTTTTTCATATTGAGTGTCATATTTTCTTTTAATTCTAATAAATCAATACCATAATTTAGACAACATGACCAAGCCTTTTTGGGTCCACCTGCCCCTTTCTTAATAAAAGTCAAATCTAAAACATCCACCTAACTAACTAGGCTATCATATGGTCAATGTTTAATGTTACCAAACCATCTAAGACGATTCTTTCCACTATTGTCCGCCACTAGAGCTACTACAGCCCATTCACAGATATATTCATCTCACACTTTATCTCTAAGTATAAAGCCACTCTGCCACCTTAGCATTCTCATCTCAGCAACACTAAACCTAATTTTATGCTTCTCTTTTACCATAAATTTTGTGGCTAGAATTGCATTGATGGTTTGCCAACCACAACATTTTTTAAGATGGTTTGCAATGAAAATGTCTTCAAAGAATAAATAAAACAACAAAAAAAAAACCATTACAAGTCATGCCAACCATATAATTTTTCATGCAAAATGTTCGATTTGCCAAAATTGCCCGAATGCCATGAAAAAACTAATTTTTTTTTCTTCACGCAACTCAGAGAACCCCATCTAAAGCAAATCAAAACTCCACCAAAGAAGACTTCAACGAGGGTCATGACCAGCCTATTAGGACACTAAGCGTGATAAGCCTCGAGTCGTATGCACGAAGATCCTCTCATTGAAATGCGTAATCTCAATTGAATTTGTTAAGAATCAAAATTTGCATTGCTCCCGAGTAATTATAAAAAAAATTTAAACTATATAACATTGAATGAAATTAATGCTTTTCGGAATAATTGTGAGAGCCACTCACCTAAAGTAAATATAAATGACTTCAAAATTATAAATATTTGCTCCAAATATACACAATGCTAAGCTACAAAATATGCAATTGAAACATGTTCAAACATATAGACTTTACAGTATTGCAAGTAATTTTACCCATAGTTTACAAGCCATAATTTACATGAAACAGCAGAATGCCACGTAAATTTTTAGAGAGAGAGAGAGCTTTAAATAAAACGATTGCATTTCTTCAAAGTATAAAGAGTTAGCTTTCCAACCATGTCAAAGTTCCTACAATCAACAGCTTGCTTGGGAGCTCACCTGGGCAAGGAGCAAGATATGTGATCTTCTTCCTGTAACAATGAAATTGTCAAATGAAATTTTATACAGTTTCATCTTGATGCACTAGAAAAACGTAACAAAATAAAAGGCGTCTAAATTATCTGCTTATTGCTACCTCTGGATGTCGATGTCCGTGACATAGATAAACCCAGCAACATTACTGCAATCAAATCAAGCAACGGTTAATAGAATTCAGATTTCTCACAATAAAACAGCAGTGGAAAAGGAAAAATGCATCAATTAGATGTTTCTACAACTTGACTTCAGCCATTCACGTTATGAAGAGAATAAATTTAATGAAATTTAAGGGTCTAGTTGTGGTGTACATCAAAAATATGACTGCACGAATCTCGAGGAAGTTCAATAGATCTCACTGAGCAGACATTAAAGGATTGCATTGGAAGTCAAAAGATAGATGCCAAATATCGTTTACTTTGGTCGGAACCACGAGCGAACCGAACGAAAGTTCTGTCGAACAATAGAACAATAGACAACCAAATCCAAGGGGCAGACAGCTACAACTAGATTTCTTGAATTATTTCGAGATTGTTCAGAGAGACGACCAAAGGGCCCCCCGGTATCTTTCTGATCCTCTCAGAAGGCCCATTGTCCAAGGGGAGCTGCCCATCAAATTATGGTAATACACTCTTTGTCTGATGGTCCAAGTTCATCGTAACGACAAGTGGGCCACTACCGAGGATTCTCCCAAAGAGATCAATTGAAGACCTGCTAGCCAATCGAACGATTGTAAAACGACCGAATGACAACACAAGAAGATAATTAAGTGTTGTTTTAGCACTTACAAAAATTGAACGACACCAACGTCAGTTATGAATCTCAGAGTCGATTACAAATATGAAAGATGCATTAATTATTTGTAATGTTCCTATTAAAATAGGGATAAATATGTAACTTGCAAGACACCCCTTATGATCTATAAATAGGGGGGTCATTTCCTCAAGAAGAAATTACTGAAATTATTCTCTGAGAACTTAATTATTATACACCACACTTCTCTTTTTCTCTCCCTCTCAACTCCTCTCATCTGTCTAACGCTTTATTCCTTGAGTGTGATCCATTGGACATTTTTGGATTCAATATTCTAAAAGATGCAGTGAGCATGTAGTCATGCAATCAACAAGAAGAGGAGTAAGCCATAGAGAAGGAAACAACTTGGGAGAAACCTCGAACATGGAGTCCGTTCGAAAATTTGTGCAACAACAAATTCAGAAATTCTAAAACCAAACAGTGAGACAAACGACAGAACTGAGCCGAGCTGTGCATGAGGGGTGAGCATAAGCTCCATAAGAACTAAACTCTCAAGAATAACCTGAACACTAAGGCCACCGAACGGCTCAGGGAGTCGGATTAGTTGAAGAATCCCAGTATTAAAAAGTGTTGGGTTCATGCCAAGGAACATAACACAAGGGGGGGCGAATGGAAGTCTAACGCCGACCATAGGATGCATTTTCCAATCAGATCATTGAAGTTGAGCCCCCATAGAAGTTCAATTTTCCATCCTTGGAAACCTACAAGGGTTGGAGTGATTCGGTCGATCACATAGCATCCTTTGAGTCAGCTATATGCCATCTCATAGTCTCTTACGCGTTAAAGTGTTAGTTGTTCTATAGCACACTGAGGGATTTGGACCTCTGGTGGTTTAATGGTCTCCTGACAGAAATTATTACTTCCTTCGGTGAATTCAAGAAGCTATTCACGATGTTATTCGCAAGTGCACAAAAGCCCAACAAGCACAGAAGCCGTATGGTATGTCAAGATGGGGCCTAATGAGACGCTTCACGTGTATGTCACTCGATTCCAGAAGGACATGCTGGAAGTGCGAAATCTGAAACATGTGATAGTAAAGGCCGCCCTGGCACAAGGGCTAAGGAGTGCACAATTTAAATTCTTAGTGGGTTTACGTACATCGGATAGTTTAACTAAACTTTCGGAGTTGACCAATGATCATATCGTGACAGAGGAATGTCCACCTGCCTTATCCAAAAAGCAAAAAAGTTCGTCCATCATTCAAAGAAAAAAGGGCTCGTGAGATGATGGGTGGAGGGAGAAAGATGGCCCAAGCAACAAATGAAAGCGGCCAGTCATCTCGCGGTGATGAAGAGTATGATAGAAATTCACGGAGATGGAGTTGATCGAAAAACTTTGACGATCGAATACCAAAACACACTCAGCTGAGGGTTTCAATGTCGGAGCTAGTAGAAGTCATTCAAGATAATGAGTACTTTAAAAAGGCTTCGTCGATGAGAACCGGAGTCTGTCTCCGGAATATCAATAAATTCTGCAAATATCATAAAGACCATGGTCGTGACACGAAGGAGTGAAAACATCTCCAAAGCCTGATCAAAGTACTGATTTGGTCCGAAAAGCTCAAATAGTTTGAGGCCCTTGGAGCACAAGCCCAGAGATAGGGTAAAGCCCTTACAGAAGATGACTCAGATGAGCCCATCCGAGCCTATGCCATACATATCACGGGGATAGTGCCTACAATCTTGGGAGGAGTTTCTGTCAAAAGGGCATACCATAAGAGGCCCCGAATGGTGGAACTTTGTGAGGCTGTTTTCGCTCCGAAGGGAAATCCTCATCCCTCCATTATCTTTAATGAGATGGATTTTCCCCCAAAAGGAATCCTCACGACATCGTGGTTGTCACGACGATGATTAATAACTACCATGGGGTAGCATTTTGGTTGACATGGGCAGTTAGGAAGCATATTGTTCAAGTTAGCCTTCGATAAAATGCACCTCTCGGCCGACTGCGTAGGTACGCCGATCGGCCCACTATATAGGTTTTATGGCAAATGAAAAGAGGCCCTATGTATTATTCACCCATATGAATGACTTTCTGGTGGTTGATGCACCACCTATCTACACGCGATCTTCGTTTGCTCACTATTCAATGATTTCAGAGCACTGGCATCCACCAACCACGTGGCGATAAAGTTTCCATGTGACAGGGAGATAGTGACCATTTGGGGCAATCTAGAGCAGATTCGAACATGCCAGCTCCGGGCGGTCAACAATGTGGAGCAAGAAATGTTGGACATCTAGCACTAACGAAGAGGGGGTCTCAAAATCGACGAAACTACAATTGAGATCTTCGCTGCCCTCAACGAAAGGGGTAATTTTTTTTTTAATTAATGAGAGTTTTAATGTTGGGCATAGGACTTGTTGATCCGAACTCTCCAAGAGCATCGAGATGTCTTCACCTAGTTAGTTGTCTAAATGTCAGGCATCCCAATATACATGGCATGCTATCAATTCATTGTCAATTCAATCGCCCAACCAATAAAACAAAAGATTAGAACGTCGGCCATGACTTTACCTGGACCAATATGGGAGTAAGTATTGAAGCTCAAAGTGGCGGGCAACATCTAAGAGGTGCAATATCCGTTCTGGAAGTCCAATGTGGTCATGGTGCAATAATTGAACGACAAATGGAGAATATGTGTGGACTTTCACGAATCTGAACTTCACTTTCCCCAAGGACGACTACCCCGAGACGAGGATTGATGCACTAGTGGATTCTAAAGTTAGGCATTAAGTCGTGAGCTTTCGGGAAACTTTTTATGGCTACTATCAAATCAAGATGCACCTGGTCGATGCAAAGAATGGAAGGCCACCTTGTGGGCAAAAAAATGCTAAGGCTACCTACCATTGTCTGCTAGATGTAATCTTTGCTAAACAGAAAGAAAAAAAATATTAAAGTCTATGTTGATAATGTTTTAGTTAAAAGTAGGTCGATCAAACAAAATATAAGCAATCTAAAAGAAACATTCCAAACGCTCACAAAATATAATATGAAATTAAACCAACTGAAATTTAAGTTTGAAACATTGACCGGAAAATTCTTTGGATCTCGTTACGCCTGAAGAAATAAAGGCCCAACCCTGGAAGGTAAGGGGTTGTTTTGGAGCAATTTTTGTTTTTTATTTTTTCTTGTTGAAGATAAAAATAAGAAACAAAAAAAAAAGTGTTAATCTATTTTTTGCTTTATTTCTGTTTTTTTTTTAGCATACTATTTTTAAAATACTCAAAACAGAAAAAACATATTTTATCTATTTTTAAAACATAAAAAACAACGAGCCCCGCCGCCCACCCAGGCCAACGCCGGCTGCCTGCCGCCGTCGACCGCTTGCATGCCACCGTCAGCTGCCCTCCGCTTGTTGCCACTGTCGCCACCCGCCCACAGGTAATTCTTTGTATTTGGTGGAACAAAGAAGACGTATAAGCCATAAGCAGCAGAGCTTAATACTAAAGCGCACGTGGACCCAATTATTTTATAGAAATATAGTTTTTTTTTAAAAAAAATACTTAACCAAACATATTTTATATTTTTTTTATTTTTAAAAACTTATAAATCATAGCAGTACCAAATACACTTTATAAAAACATAAAATAGAAAATAAAAAACATAAAATAGAAAATAAAACAAAAATAAAATAAACTAAAAAAAAAAAATGAAAACAAAAAGATCCCAAACTGTAAAAACACTCTTCGATATGCCTTTTCAAAATATAAGAAAGTTCAAAAGCGAACCATTCGGATAGCAGCACTCTGTCTTTTATCTTAAAGTCGGGCGATATATATGCAACATTCTTCAAAATATTGAGAAAAGCTAAAAGTTTTGAAAAGTCGACCAAATGTGAGCAAGCATTCCAAAGCTTAAAATAATCACCAGCCTCACCTTTACTTTTGTAAAGCCCGAAATAGAAGGAAGAACACTCCATATTTGGAAGTAGGGCCAAAAGCCATTAGTTTGATCATGGTCCAGGAGGAGCTGGGAAAATAATTCCACATCTACTACAACAATCGGGTCCTTATAGGCGCAGAGATCATGTATTCTATTATGGAAAAACTAACAGTTACTCTAATTGTCTCTACTAGCAAATTTCGGCCGTATTTCCAAACGCACCCAATTAGGGTCATCATTGACCATACACTCAAATTCGTACTCACTAGATCGTAACACTCCGATCAGCTCTTGAAATAGGTTGTGGAACTCAGTGGATACGACATTATCAGCATTTCTAGAAAAACGACCAAAGATCAGAAAGTGGCAGATTTCCTAGCAAAATTCTTCGAACAAGGAGAATCAAGCGGAGGAGCTGATGTCGGGGATTGAAGTTAGACTTTCCACATTGATAGAGCCTTGAGCAAGACCAAAGCAGGAATCAGACTGGAGCTGAGCAATCTGACCGAAGAACATCTCTATCACTCACCCGTCCTTGAGTTTAAAGTCACCAACAATCAAACAGAGCACGAAGCACTAGTGATCGGTCTATGCTTAACCCTCGAAATAGGCATCTGACATCTGTTGCTTAAGTCAGATTCGCAAATGATGGTTAATCAAGTCAACAGAGAATTCGAAGCCAGAGAAGAGATGATGATCAAATATTTGAACAAGGCAAAGGTGGAGATAGAGAAGTTTACAGAATTCTGGATTGAACATGTTAGTCGGGAAAAAAATCAAGAAGCAGGCATTCTATCAAAAACACTTGCTTTGAAGAGAGGACGTCTGAAAGGTTTCTCCGGTCGACCATTGAAGAATCAAAAGCCATAGAGATGGAAGCTGAAAGCACAAAAACTTGGATGGATCCATTCATCCAATATTTAGAGACCGAAAGATCCCAGAGGAAATAACAGATCAAAGGAGGTTCAAATTCAAAGCTGCATAATCTCATCATTGAAGGTAAATTTTTCCTAATGTCACCCACTTCGTTGCTCCTAAGATGAAAAGACCTTAATGAAATGGCCACCATAGTCAGAGAGTCGACGCAACCACCTCTTTCAATGAAGATAATCTCACCAGCTGTCATGAGGCAAACGGTGAAGGAATGATGCTAGCACTCGACTTATTAGAAGAAAGCTGAACCAATGCAACACTCTAACAGGAAGATATAAAGAGAGGGCGTGCTCAATACTACAATAAGAACGTCCAACAAAAGACACTTACCCGACTATTTAGTTCTGAAGAAAGCCGACCCAACAGTACGAGGGCAATCGGCCGACAAAATTAATTAGACTTGGACAAGTCAATTCATCATTGATCAAAAAATCGCCCAAGGAGCCTACAAGCTAAAGTCATGCACCGAGAAAATGATTCATACAATGTGGAGCAGGGATGATCTCAAAAAATCTTTTTTCCTTAAAACCATTACGTTTTACTAGCACAAGAAAAATATAAAAGAATTTTTATACTTTCGATACTTACAACTTTTGCCTTTTCCATAATGTTGAGAAAAATATTTGCTAATCATACAGTTATGACACCAAGTTTAAGCAACACTAGGGGGAACTCAGAAGATCGATGCACCTCGCATCGAAACAATATTTGGGGAACTAGAGTACCCTAAAAAGCCAACCAACAGAAGCGTTCAGATGCTCTGTCGCAAAACTCAAACTTTGGTTTCCAAGTCTTGAGAACTAATTTACAGAGGTGGTTACCCGTCCAGTAGTGATAAAGCTCAGCAAATAAAAGGTAGCCAAGGAACTTATAACGCCTCGAATCCGTACATTGAACTTCAAAAATCCAAATCAAATTGATGCGAAAATCAAGAAAATGCAATGATGAAAATTTTTTAAAATTGACAAAAATTAAATTTTTATTTAAGACAAAATACTTTATAGAAGGGTCTTCAGCCGTCTCAAGCAGCACCAAGGCCCAACTCACAAGACTCGAATACAACGAATGTCCCTCAAACTTAAATTTTTCTACACCCTCTTCTTCCGCTCAGACCTGTGAGATCGAACTGGTCGCCCGAATTTCTACCAGCTCAATCTAGAGATTTTCCACCTCAACTCGGAAAGCACCATATCAACCGCCAACTTCTCCTTGAAGTCTGATATGGCAGCCTCCCTCTGGGCCAGCCTTCCAAGCAGAGTTCACTGTTTAGTCCATGCAGCGAACCAACAGACCCCAGGAACCCCACCGTCCATCAATTTCCATCTCAAATGACTGTCGGGGCTGACAGATGGCCAAGTGCACCTCCACCAGGAGCTGCAATAGAAGGTCTCACGACTACCTTTGGAGGGGAGGTGGGTGACTTTCTTGCCCGGGAAATCAATGATATGCACGACTTTAGCTGCAAAAATGAGATGTCAAGAATGAGAATAGACATTAATTTATCTTATAAGAAAGAGATTTCTTCACTGATTATTCTCTTTATCTCTGACTTATAGGCGGTAAGACATCCGCCTGGCTGGCCCCGCCAACCGAAGGAGAGAGAGCTACACCATCGTGTGGCTAGACCTTTGTTGCCACAACTGCCCACACCTGCTGTTGTGCCGACAATGAGTCGACAGCTGGTGGATCAGATATGGGGCAAGGACTAGTGCATCAGTGATGTGCACGTCACTCCTGCCCCTACCTCATGGAGTGGCAACGAGTCAGATGACTCGATCACTCCTCTACTCTCTGTTTCTTCAACACCGATTGCCTTACCAACTTGCCCCCCTCTGGCGGGTCCCTTCTCCCGACCTCTTTGGGTTGACCAATCATCCTTCACCTTCTGACCTCTTTCCTACAGGTCAGCTCTCATTCTTAGGCATCTTCTTAGGAGTCAGCTGAGTACTTTCGGGCTTCTTCTTCTCACCCACGAGATGGTGGAGTTTTTCAGTCGAAAGCTCGAAGGCCTTCAACATAGCTTCTTCGTTAGCGGGTTTCTTCCCACTTACCATCTCAATTCCCTCTAAAAAATGAATGAAGGGATGGAAATTCGAAAATGGTGATTGAAAAGTGATGCTCACGCCCTATTTATAAAAAAAAGGGCACGAAAATCCAGGGACTTATTTATTAGAAGTACTTATTACACAATAAATAAGTTAATTTATGCATTTACACTTATTCTTATCGCAGTTGCTACTTTCAAGAAGTAAGAATAAACTAACTATGTATATTAAAAAAACTACCACACGAATCTCAAGGAAGTTCAACGGATCTCGCTGAGCAAACACTAAAGGATTGCATTGAGAGTCAAAAGACAGACGACAAATGGCATTCCCTTCGATCGAAACCACAAGCCGACTGAACGAAAGTTCTGCCGAATGAAAGAGTAGAAGGAACCAGATCCAAGGGACGGACAACTACAACTAGCTCCCTTGAATGACTTCGTAACTCTTCACAGAGACAACCAAATGATACCGCAGTATCTTTTTGATCCTCTCAGAAGACCCCTTGTCCAATGGGAGTTGTCCATTAGATTAGAATGACTCACCCTCTACTTGATGATCCAAGTTTACCCTAATGAGATGTGGGTCTCTACTGAGGATTCTCCCAAGAATGACGACCAAATAACAACAACAATAGGGCATTAAGTGTTTTCCTTTTTAACATTTACAAATATGGAATGGCCCCAGCGTCATTAATGGATCCCGGAGTCACCTACAAATATAAAGTTCATTAATTATTTGTAATGTTCCTATTAATATAGGAAAAAATATGTAACTTGCAAGACACCCAATATGATTTATAAATAGGAGGGTGATTTCTTCTAGAATGAAGTATTGAAATTATTCTCTGAGAACTTGTGTTATTTTATACTATACTTCTTGTTTTTTCTCTCCTTTTTGATTCCTCTCATCCGTCCAACATTCTATTTCTCGAGAGTGACACATTGGACATTTTTGGATTCAGCATGTGGAAATGCTGCATTCCAGAAAACGTGGCAGAGAAGGCAATGGGCAACACAAAGCCACATACCTACCCAAGCGAGGATAGGAGAGTAAATTGATTTATGCATTAGCCAAAGATCATTTCGATGACTTATGTTTGTCACCTTGATGCCACAATGGACAAGCTGACCACGTCCTTCTTAAACTAAATCTGTGGAAAAGTGGATAGAGTTTTCATTCATGGCATTGAAATCTAATGTTTTCTTCCATAAACCTCTACTATAGGCTCAAATTTTCAATAAATCAGGCTGAAGTTAGACATGTAGTGAGATGAGAAAACATCTTATTCAAAAGTAAAGACCTATACTACCATACAGAATGCAAAATCATTTAATGTGGATTCATCTATAAAATTCATAAGAGCCCTCAAGGCAAGTATAACTATTACCTAGAGATTATTTGCTCTGGTTCCTTTGCATATGAAACAGCAAGAACCAAATGAAGTAAGTCTCTGTTTATGTTAACAGCAACCAGCCGAGTAGGGTCAGCTACAGGCTCAGCTCCAATTGGTAGTGCTGAACGTGGGGCCTGTGGACCACCACCAATTCTGTAGACAGTTATATCACTGAAACTGACGATATTAGAATGCGGAGACAGATCATTGAAGAGGCCATAAAAGTACTCCTGCGAGGGATATTTGTCAGGCTTTGGTTATGAATTCCAATAAAAAAATGAGTTTAACTAAAACAATATAAAGACAAAAGGTTCTAGTGGCATTCAAATGATCTAAAGTGAGCACGAAACAACTGAATAAGTGAATTGCATCCTGGAGGGAAAAAAAAAATTCTACCTAAATCAAAGGATTGAGCTTACAAAAGCTATAGCCCACAAAAAAGCAACAGCTAATCCTAGTTTAACACAATATGTTATCAACGAGTCAATTTCTACTGAGCTACCCAAAATTCATTTGTCAATGTTCAGCTCACCAACTAATCTACATCTTTCAAGCTAGCTCGACCAAGTAAAAATCGTTTAAAGATATTAATAATCAAAAGAAGGGTTCGGAAGAGTATAAGCATGAATTAAGAAAAATACTAATTGGTTGATTATCTCTTTGCCTGAATATTATAACAATTTTATAAATACTACAATAATTAAAGCTGACTTAAATATAATTATAATTTACTGACTCAAAATCATACCAAAATTAAGTTTGAATTGATCCTTAGGATTGAGACTCACACGAACTGATTGAAATGTAATTTAAAACAGGAACAAGTTTCTATCGTTGAGTGTTCTTGTTGACCTCCTTGGTCAAACAACCTAATGAAATTGACTTAAGAAATTTAAATATGATCCTAAAACGACAAAACTAAAATAATTGGATCTTAATCCAAGTTTAACAAATGTTATCAATGAGTCAATTTCTACTGAGCCGCCCAAAACTCATTTGTCAAAGTTCAGCTAAACAACTAATCTCAAGCTAGCTCAACCTAGTTAAAAATTATTTCAAGATTTTAGTAATCAAATGAAGAATTTGGAACTGTTATAGAATTTGAGCAGAAGAGCTGGAGCACGAGTTAAGAAAAAAATTACTAATTTGGTTGATTATCTCTTACAAATGCTACAAAAATTCAAGCTGGCTTAGATATAATTATAAATTACTGACTCAAAATCAAACAAAAATTAAGTTTGAATTGATCCTCAAGATTGAGACTCACACAAACTGATTGAAATGTAATTTAAAATATGAATAAGTTTCTATTGTTGAGTGTTTTTTTTTACCTCCTTGGTCAACCAACCTAAAGAAATCGACCCGTGAAATTTAAATATGGTCCTCAAACAACAAAAATCTCAAGCGCATGCTGGTCTGAAAGAAACCAACTCCTCAAACTATGGACAAAACGCAAACATCCCTTACACTTCAATTGACCATTAAATGGTATTGACATGTAGCTTCAGTAATCCTATTGAGAGTTACAGTTGCAACTGGTCATGAGCAAACCTGGTTACTCTCACATGGTCGAAGGTCCCTATTTGTTGGTTTCAATTGACTAATAAACAGTCCTAGGAAATCTCTTTTGACCCGATGGACTCCTAAATAGTCCAAATCAATATTTCTTAGTGCAATGCCCCCAAGCTAGACTTAGTTTGGTCCTGGTTGACTTCAAATTTTATAATTAACTCAGGGAGATTCGATTAAGTCTAGCACCATATTAATTAATCTAATCAAAATCCTAACTAACTCAGCCCAATTAATGTACAGCAAATTATCCAAAACCATCCATGATGACAAGTTAACCAACAAATGGGTCTTGGCCAACCTTCAGTCGCAAATTACCTTAAAGTTGGCACAATTATTCAAAATAGTCACAAATTATCCCTATTATGTGTGGATATCATAATGCCTTAGGTAAACCTTAGAAGCCATGACCAAAGTCCATTATTCCCTCATTAGATCATTAGCTCCTGACCAATCACTAATTCATAGAATTAAGTATTTACCAAACTTTACTTGGACCTCCACCAAACCAACAAGCCCCTAGTTGACGGCCTGGACCATAATTACTACTACGACTGAACTGAAATCAACCAAAACTAGTCCCTCAACTTACTAAAAGATTCAATGTGACTTTTGCATAATTGACCTGCTCCCTAAGCAAAGTGGCTGAGCTAATTGATACCATCCAACACAATTAACACTTGACAAAGTCCAGTCCTCATGAAACTAAGCCAACTGAGCTAGCTCAAGTCATAAATTAGGCGCAAATAACTAATTGGTAGCTTACAGCTCCTCCCAAAATCAGGTCCATAGTTCTGGGTAGCTTAAAGCACTTATAAAGCCTTAATTTAGTTAATTAACTTAAACTGAAAAAACTAGGAACCAAATAGCCCACTTGGACGAACCTAAAGGCTTGATATAAGCCTAAAATTCTATCAGACTAACGCCCAATTGGTACTTAATTCCTCGAATAATGAATTTAACTCCTCAAAAATTATCACATCCAAAGTCATATTTGCTATGAGGTAACCATTTATATTCGTGACTTTATTGCTAGCTGGTGGAAAATAGAAAATGTCTTCCAGCCACCTATCACTTAGGTCATTGTTGAGCCACACACCTACTCCACGTTCAACCCAATTGGGTGTGGTGACATTGACGAAGGGCAGAACATGCTTTCGTGAAAGTTTAGCTCGAAATGTACCACATAAAATGAAATTATTTAAAATGCTGCCCATTTTTCAAAATAGAGTACATTGTTGAATCTATAAAATTGAAATTGCCAAAAGAAGCTCAGCGCAATCAATTTAATTGAAAAAGATGAAAATGGGGAAAATGAACACAATATTGCACAAATTTGATTTGAAATGCCTTAACCACCATACAAATTATATGAACATCGTTCGCTATGCAAAAAGGTCTCTGTCGACGCCTTTAGAATTCAAAAGTACCTTGAGACCTATATTGCTCTATCTATTGGATGAAAGCAAAACATAAAATTTTTCCATGTACAAGATGATGACACAAAAAACTAACTTGCTTAATTGACGAAATTTGGCAAGGCAAGCTAAAAAATTTAAAATAAATTTAAAATATCCATTTTATTATTACACATTAAATAGAATTAAAACTAATTAAGTTGAAAATATATTTTCTCCATTTAATATTATTACATTTTTTTATTATTATTACTTAATTAAATATATATTATATTTTAATTAGATTTAACAAAAAAATTCTATTATTTCTAACAAACTAAAATTGTATGTGTCTGTATATTAATTTAATAATGTTTATTTAGACAATTGTGTCAAAAATGAAACAGCTTATATCAAAAATCAAGCCCACAAATGCAAAATCTCACTTTACCTGCCACTTATACATATTATAGTATCTTTTGACTCAAGCTTGTGCATCGACATGATAATGCAAAAAAAAAAAAAATTATTAAAAAAGAGAAACTCTAAAAATAAAATTTAATTTATCACTAGCGCTCATTTTCACACCCAACCAAAAACCCTCTGCCTCTCCCATCTGCAAAGCCAATAGTCTCCTCTTTCACCGTCTCTATTTTGCATAATAGACCAAGCTCAAGTTCCACTCCCAATCCCTCTTTATCATTCTTCTTTGTCTCCTTAACCTCCATCCAAAATCACAACGCTTCCAGTCCAACACATGATCCCTTCACTAACCTCCTGCAGTCTTTCTAAAACCATACATGCCAACCACCTCTCTTTATCTCATGATATTTTCCATATCACTACTGTTGCCATCAAAAGCTCCTCTTGTCTCCCCATCACCTGCTATTTGCAAAGGCATCCTACCATACTTGCTTGGACAAAATTCCAATAACCACTAGATTCCATTGTGAACCACCTAAGCTACCTTCTCACCACTAACCAAAAAATTACTGCTCATCTCTCTCCTGGAAATTTATTAGCCTCTAGGGAACTCACTCGCCTGATGATACTAAGACTTTGCTTTCTCTTCTCCCAAACTTCTTCAACCCAAATCTCTATAAGTTACTTTCCACTCAGTGCTAGTTCAAGCCAGATCCTATAAATCCAATCCACCTCTAACCCGAGCCACCAAGAAAGACCAAAGGCATCACAACTTGGACCATTGTCTCAACTTGTCTGACCCTAGCAACATTTCTATTCCAATGAGTTTAATGACTATAGCTCTTCATACCCATTGCAGTTTTCATTAGATTCATTGAAAAAGGACATCATCTCATCTCCCTCTATCATCCAAGCCTCCAGCTGCCCCCCGATGGCCGAGAAACATTCCTCTATTTCAAAATTTATCCTGTAATTTCTCCTCCAAAGCATGCACTCTCTTAGCCTCCTTTACTCCCTCGAAGATTTTAGATATTGGAGGTGCAGTGGATTAACGCATTTGACTTTAGATCTGGAGGTGGAATTGTGATTCTATCGCTAGCTTCCTTGTGTTGTGATCCCATGATTCAGTCCCTGTACGTATAATCCCATGATTGGCTCCCGGATAGGTCAAATCATGACGGTATCGCGAGATTAGGGCGCGATCCCGTCGCCCGCTTCCACATTTGCACTCTTTGTGTTGTATCACATGGTTCGACCATGAAGGAAACGTCATGCAAGATTCATATACGCAAGTTTGGTGTGAAACTGCTAGACACTGGGATCTCACGAAGTTTGTAAGTCACGATCTCACGAAGTTTGTATGTCGCGATCCTCTTCTCTGGGGGGATAGCTTTCCGTACTTCCCAGATTCCCAGATTGATGCTCTAATACCAATTTAATAGGAATAGACACAGATTTTTCAGACAGAAATTTGGGTAAATAATACTTACTGCAAGAACATCAAGCATTCAAGATAAATACAATGATAAGCGCCTACAATTCGAGAGGTAGGTGATCTCTCCTAAGGTATGAAATCTCTCCCAAACCCTAACTCTTAGACTCAAAACCCAATCTCATGCATCCCCAACCCTAAACATATTAGTCCTATTTATACTAAACAATAATAAAAGAGAAATGACTAAATTGCCCCCAGGCTAACAAAAACTAAATTATCCCTAGGCACAGTCATAACAGATTCTAGATTGTTACTCATTTTTTTATTAGTAATTAAGAGAAGAATTAATAATCATTAAAATAAGTCTCTATGAAAAAAAAATATGTTCTAATTGATTTCTAATTTGATTGAAATAGTTTTTGATCGAGTGCAATGCTTTCTAGCCATATCAAACTACAGCTGAGGATTGTAAAATTTTGAAAGGAGATTATTCTTCGTATTGATACAAGGTTTGGTCCAAGTTTTTAACTACAACATGATTTTAAATCAAATGCATTCATGCTTCTAAATTCAAACTGATGATTCGATTGCACAACAATTGAATTATCATTTATGTCAAATTCTTTTTATTTTTACTTTCAACTAAAAGAACAAAAAGTTATTCAAATTAAGGGTTCCTGAACAGCAAATCTGGAAGTGTATGATTAATTTTAAAAATCTAATCATAATATGCATTATAAACACTAAGGCCCTAAGATATCACACATCGCATGCTAATTCTTGAAAAATGGCTCAAATGTGTAATGCATCACAAACAAACTATACAAAAATAAAGTACCTTTTTTGGTTTAGGGTACTTTTCTCAGTAAAAAAAAAAAAAATTATTTTTTTAAGTCTTTGGTCCATTTCTCTTCTATAACATTTTAATATGGCTCATAAGATTACCACAATTTTAACAGCCAGCTTACTCTTTTGTATCAAAATATCTCCTCTCCAATCATTTGGCAGTCTCTAATGCATACAAACTCTACTGAAAAGATTTATTATCTAAAATCATTGCAACATGCCTTCCAACCCTACAAATCTCAGTAGATATGCATTTAAACCCAAAGCTTTATTTCAAGCTAACTCTGGTGAAATCTTCTTGCTTTTGCAGGTTAGATTACAAGTTTCTCAAAACTAAAATTATACAGATTGGACAACCAAAAGTAATTTCATATTTAAGGGGACATCTTGATGACAACTTCTACAATAGATATATAAATAGAAGTAAGTTTGAATGTGATTGACAAGCAAATTGTAGATATAAACTGTAGATATAATAATAATAAATCTTATTAACATGCAGAGTTAATGAAATGCACATGGCAAATATCCTCTCAAGGAAAATAACGTACCCTAATCCTGAAGCCCCGAGATTTCTGCCGAAATTTTGGGTTTCTTGAAACAACACCCCCAGACTTGTGAAGTTTTACAATGTCCATATTAGGATTATTCTTTGCTACATCTTTCAACAAGCTATAGAGCTTTTCCTGCATCATATTCATCAAAACAAAATTAATAAATTAATAGATAAAAAAGCACCACATTGTGCAATCTACCCAACATAATTTCCTTCTAAATTTATTTCACTAAAATATTACACTTCTAGATCAAAAATCATAAAAATCATCTAAGTAAGAAGCATCATGAAAAAGAAATCTTCCATGCAAGGGTACAAAATTATCAAAACTACTCAATGGTAAAAAATTCATTTCACAGCTCCATCCATAAGGAGTGAAGGATAAGAATGCAAAGTAGAGAGTCTCAACCTTATGATAAAACAATTAACTTACATGAGAAATGAAGAAATTACCTGCCCTAAGACAAGAACAACACTAGCATTGAAAGTGTCAATTGCATGAAGAAGCAACTGCATCCATCATCAAGAAAACTAATGTTAAGAATTATTCATATTACAATGTGAATAAGACAGCACATTATTTCAACAGCAAAGGTACCTCATAACCAAGGCCTTCCACCCAACCCAAAGTGTTGATCACCATGCCTGCAGCCCTAGACTCTGCATTAGCAGAGAAATGCCTCTCCAGTGTTTGAGCTAGCTCCTTCACAAGAACCTTGTATAGTTCTCCATTTATGCTGTGAATCAACCATTAGGAAGGAGAAAAACATATCCAGTCACCCACAGCTTAAGCCAAACTACACAAGTCCATTGTGTCATCATGTTTAGCAAACAAATATAACAAGAGATGTGGCGTAATAGTAAAAAGGTGCCAGCCATCCACCTTGGAGTCGTGTGTCCATAAAAGTACACAATGGGCATTTCTAGAGGTATCCCTTCAACAGCGTCAATAGGCATTTCGATTGGAGTGGAAGCAATACATCCAGGAATAGTAATGGATCCCTGACCAATATCCAAATCTACAAACATAGGCTTCCAGCCCAGCTTACACGCCCAACTCAGAAGCATCCTGCACAGACTACTTTTCCCAGAATCCGTGGGCCCAACCACAATAACCCGAGGACCCTAAATAGAGAAGATCCATAAAAATAAAATAAAATCATTAGGTATACATAATGCCTTGATGTAATTTTCGAGGAGTTATGTTTGGTGATGTGAAAGTTCCTAATAAAAAAAAGCACAGTGATCTTTCAAAGGAATAAACTAACAATCCTTTAAATTCATTCACCGCTAATGAATGTATATTCAAACTATATGCAATATTGATTCAATTCAATCATCATTCAGAAGTATTTGCAACTTTTCCAAAACATGCGTCTTCCAATAGATGCATTGAAATTGTTCAGATAAATTGCGCACTTAGGTTAAGAATATTTGATAATTCTCGTATTAGCTTCTTCTAAAATTCATCTTCCATACACACGGTAAGTGCGCAATTTATCCGAACAACAAAACGGAAGAAAGAAAATGGAATAAAACCTGGGATGCAACGAAATCGTTACTAGACGATGCCTTAGCCCGCGCTCTCCTGCCATCCAGTATCGCGTGTACGTTCACATAACTCACCATGGGAGTCTAAAACAACCCAAAAATAGAGAAAAAGGTGTCATATGTCAACACTTTACCACAAAAATCCAGAACATGAAGCAGCTACTTCACCTCATCAGCAACATACTCGACCTCGCTGGTTCCTTCTACTTCCACAGTAGCTCCATGCCACGTAAAAATCTAAGAAATGAAAACAGAATTCCCATATAGAGCTGGGGTTGGGATATTTTCAAGCACGGAGGAAGAAAGAGAAAGCGCGCACAGCAAACTTTTGACGAGGGGGTACGGAGAGCCAGTTCTCCGGCGGAAGCTCGGTTCCAAAAATCTCAGCGGTGCCGGAGACGAGGCGGATGCGGAATGGAGAATCGGCGCCGACCTCAACCCTAAGTTCGCTCTCCTTGGCCAGTTTGAACTGCCGGATCGACGCCGGAGCAGCCATGTTCCCCGACTCCGTTCACAAAAACTAGGGCTAGCCGGTAAATATACAGATGTATAATAAGTTTATAATTTGAATGTTAGAAGAAAGCAAATACGAAAATTATCAAATATTCTCAAGTTCTCAACTTCCGACAATTGTTTTTTTTTTTCTTTTCTTTTTTCTATTTTTAACGTTTATCATGTTCATAGTAGTCTTAATTCGTTTTATCTTTATAATATCATTTTTTTTTGTGGAAAATAAAGTTATTTCAAAATGTCCTAAGATATTAAAAAAAAAATCTCATGAATTAATTTATTTAGGGTGAATATGCCAAATTTTACTTACTATGCAGAGAGAAAAATAATACAAAAAATTGCAGACTTCCCACTAGAAATGAGATTTGAACGCTATGATAAAATTTTTATTATATCGTGTACGTCAAAAATATGATTACACGAATTTTGAGGAAATTCAATGAGTCTCGCTCATGAATATTAAAGTACAATGTACCGGGATAGTGAAAAGACGGAAATGTCAAGTGTTATTTCTTTCGATCGGAACACTGAGTCGACAAAATGGAAGCACATCAGAACGAATGAATAGAAGTCACCTATTCTGAAGGATAGTCATTCATGACCTGCTCCCTTAGCCGATTCCGGCATTCTTCTCAAAGATGATCAAATGACACCCCGCGGAACATCTTTCTGATTCTTTGAGAATGCCCCTTTGTCCAAAGAGAGCTGCCCATCAGATTACGCGGTGATACACCCTCTACCCGACGACTCAAGTTCACCCTAACGAAATAAGGGCATCTACTCAGGATTACATTGAAGGGTCGACTGAAGAACTTCAAACGACCGAATGTATGACAATCAACCAAAGGATCTCAGTTGACCGAATGTCAATATGAACGAGTCATTAAATGCCCCTCTTCAAACAATTATGAATATGAACGGTGATAATGTTAGTTATGAATATGACAGAACGTCAGAGTCAGTTACAAATGTAAAAATGTGTCATAATAACTTGTAATATCCTTATTAGAATAAGGATAGAAATGCAATTTTGCACTAGATACCCTCGACTAGGGGGGCCATCTCTCCAGTAAAGTACTACTGAATTCACTCTATCAAAACTTCTGTTATTGTGCACTTTATTTCATCTTTTTCTTTTTCTTTATTTTTTTTCATCCGTCCTACACTCTATGCCTTCAGTGTGATCGGTATGATATAATTGGATTCAATATCCTAAAATGTGTGATAAGCGTAGAATCATGTCACCAACAAAAATGAGAGCATGCCAGAGAGAAGTAACTCATCTAGGAGACACCAAAAACTTAGAGTATGTGTGGGAATTTGTGCAACAACAAATTCAGGAACTTTGAGATCAAATGACTGGATAAATGGCAGAATTCACCCACATGATACTAGAGGGAAGAGTGCAAGCTCCCCAAGAAAGGAACCCTCGATAAGAACTAACCCAAGGCTGTCAAGCAGCTTAGGGGATAGAAAGGATGAAAGACTCCTAGCACCAAGAAAGTGTTGTGTCTACACCGTTGTTCTTACCATGATTTGAGTGAATGGAGGTCTTTGGCTTGCATAATGATTCATCCCTATATTTGCATTGCATTGTTCATTGTCATCTTTGTATTGTATTGTGTTGAGGTTTGTCCTTGCTCCGTCATCATACTATAGTTCATTATCACTATGTCATCATGTTGGTTCTACTTAATACAATCCAAATCATCAAAGCCAACCAACAAAAAATGACCCCTAACTCTCCACACAATAGTAATGAAAAGAAATTCCTATGTTTACTATTATTTCTAAAAAAAATGTTAGTATTCACAAAAGATATTACAAACATAAATAAACAATGTCACTTGGATATAGCCTGTGATACAGCACCAGGCCCCCTATGTTATCGGTCGTGCTCAAGGACTTTTATTTAGAGCACCTGCAGAAAAGTGTTAGAATCATTTATATTTTTAATGGTTGGCCCACTAAGCACGGCCTTATACAGAAAATGAATTTTAAAAAACAACTAAAATAGTCAACTTAACATCCAAAATACCGAAGAAAGTTGCCAAAACCTTCTAATTACAGCTAGCAAATGAAGCAAAATAGTTACAATAAACCATAATCACGTCAAACAATTATAATCACTGACAACCTAACTTAATTCTATTTTCAATGTCCTAAGAAACCATCTAATGTGCATGGCGCTTTTGCAATAAGCAAATCTAAGGCTTTTTTTGTGTTTAGGTTGTAGTGACTTTGGTTATTTTATGTTCAAGCATTACTAAATAGATGCTTCAGTTCAAGTTCTTAGAGTTTTAAAATGCTTTATTTTTTACTTTGGAATTTTTTGGTCTAAATTTGTTATAGTATCACTTATGCATTTAAGCATTTTTATAAAGCATACACGAGTATTTAAATCCTATGAAAAGGTAATAAAGAGCATCTTAAATCCAAGAATGAGATTAATTAAACGATAATCCAAATAATTGAAGAAAGCTTTAATTTGGAATTATGTTCAGTCATCTTTTTCTGAAATTTGGACACAGTTACAGACAAGTTCTACATGAGTGTTAGGGAATAGAATTTTATTGTTAAAATATGCTCTTAAAAAATAGGATATATAATATTTCTTCAAGTAGCATCCATTGATTAGAAGCATAGAACGTTCTTTCTTGTACTCCTCTCACTGGTATGATCTTCCATAATATACTTCTTGATTACAAAAGGACCTTTCTAATTTGGTCCAAACTTAACACTTATTTTATGTGGACTAAAATTGGTCTCCGAAGAACCAAGACCTAGTTACCTACTCAAAAAGTTATAGGGTGGACCAGTTTGTGGTTGGCTTGAACCATTTTGTCTTAGTGCAGCTCAATGTTTCGTTTCATTAATAGATATTTACCTTCTAAACCTGTAAGTTATTCTAAGAAGAGTTATGTGTTTTCTTCTATCGTGATTGCTCCATTAACAACTATCCTTACTAAGGTGATTTGTACTTTGGGGGGAGTACAACTTCAAACGAATATACTAAAATGTAAGGTGTGGATTGATTCGGTGTTTTTTAAATTATTTGATAAGCCCGCATTGTTTCTATTAGCTAATCATGCCACTGTCTTTTGCTATCATCCAACATCCTTTTTCATAATTTGTACTAATATTTTATTGAAAGCCTCTGTTAATCCATTTGCCTTTGAGTAATAAAATGTCTAATACCTTTAGTTGGTTCTATGTCATATGATCAAATTATTGATCATCATACTTATGAAGGCTAAACCATTATCATATAATATTCAACAAAAACACCAAACTTATGTATGATATGGATTATAAAGAATAGAAGGATGTTGTTGGTTTTGACTTACCTTAACAACACCGCCTCTACCAAATTAGAGAAATAGGCTATAATTGTTAATATAAATTGTTGCTCTTTTGAGGAATGTGGGTCAACTGGACCCATTATACTTGTATTATAACACTCAAAATGCTAGGACACAATTGTTGAATGAAAAACATTTGATGGCTTAAGAAGCACCCGACACTAATATCATATTTTAGTCACTTTCATATAATATTTAATCATATGGCCAAAAATATCGAAGTCACTTGATCTTTATTTTCATTTGGCTCTGACTGGTGATGTGGATGAAATATGTGAGATTTTTCTTTGTTTAAATTAATATTTTATTGCATGATTACGATAACATTACACTTTTGGAAGGCAATTTATTGTGTTTTATATGTTACAAGAGATTAAGTCACTTAAGGGAGCAAAAGAGGCAAATTGAGAACCAAAAGAGGAAAATAAAGGAATTCTGGCCTAGCATACCCATGCTTGAAATCAATGCACTTAGGCTTAAGTTCAAAGATGATGCCATACATGTGATTGGAGCAAGTGTACCCACATTGCTCCTGCCGTGTACTTATGACCCCCATTATTTGTTCCCATGACTCCAATGTCATGCACCAACATAGCTATCCGGATGACCTATTTTCTCATGCTGCCCAACAACACACCTATGCTAGTTCTAGGCCTACATATGTTTGAGTCCATTGTTTGATCTAAATAGAAGTTTTAGGCTTGGAAATGAGGTTTAAGAGTACATAAGCTAATACTTAAAAACCCTAATACACTTTTTGCCTTTGGGGCTTTGCCTCTAGGGTTTAGGAGAGTCTTTAAGGCTCTAGAGTATCTCCATAGGGTTTGCTCATGAGAGTTTTTTCCTATTATTCTTTTGGCATGTTTCTCTATTGATAGTTTGTAATGGTTTTGGGGAGAGATTAAGTGCACTTGTATGTGAGAGATCAATGGAAGCTTGTACTGAATGGAGAAGACTATGATGTATTACAAAGACTGATTGACTTGAGTTTGAGTTTTTTGTACTTCTTTTTTATATTCATAATAACAAATTTCATGATTTATTTTCTCATGCATTGCAGTTAATTTCTTTTTATCTCTTATGATATAAGGCATGTGATTTTCCTATTATTTTATCTTATGAATTTTATTCCATAGACGCTTTTTTGGTGCATGAATTTCATATGTTAATGCATTCACTTTCTTATCTTAGTTTACCTCTAATAAAAAATGATATAATGTTAAAATCAATTTTGATATAAGACTTCTAGTTGTCACCTAAAATAATAAGTAGGTTAATATATAGTAGCCCACTGGAATAAAAATATTATCAGTAGGAAATTTCAATATAGATAGAGGATTGATGGCTGAAAGCTTACTAAGAAGTAAGTCGGTCAATCGCTCAAGTATACATGCAAGCAATAATATGGTTAAAGAGTATCGTGTATCGATTGATGTGTAGAAAAGAATTCTTAAATTTCTTTATGTTTTACACACTCTTATGGAAGAAATTGCACTTTAAAGAAAGATAATTATATTTTTCTTGGAAGTGGAGCAATGTGGAGGAGGCTTGCAGAAAAAGAGCATGCAGGAGACTGGAGCATACTGGTGCCTAGGCGCCAGTCTCAACCTTGAAAAATCAAGAGGATGGCGGCTAAGTTCCACCCACTTAGCACCAAGGCGCCGTGATACTGGCACCTAGATGCCACACCCTT